CTGCTAGTAAGAATTCCATTGTACCGGTACAATCAAGTTCAACGTAAGAAAAACTCGGAAACATCAAAAATTTGGAACGAAGACCTATGCCTGCCAGGGACGACAACATTAAACACAACAGTAAAAGTGAAGTGCTATTTAAAAAGATATGGCCCAGAGGTCCTCATGACTAGCCACTGTCAAGCTCTGTAGTCAAACAAATACAAAATGTCTACAGGATGTTCTGGACAATATTTCGGCTTCTTTGCCATTTGTGGAGTTCCAGAGCCAAAGAGGAGCAGAAATCAACGCCGGCTCTCTAATTACCACACTTGAGCTAACAAACAGGGTTTGAAGCAGTCACGACAGGCGAAAAGCCATAGCAACCAACCAAGGCAGCAATTTACATTGACGAGCAGCAACAAAACCCAGATCCCGTCTGACAGCTAGTTAGTGTTGTGCCTCCTATGTGCTCAAGAGAAGGAAAAAAAAAAAACACACACACACTCTGACTGAAGGGCCCTCACAGAAGCTTCTCTCTCCACTGGTTTAAAATCAGCCCCCAGTCAGCACAGAAATGTACCACAGTTCAACTTGCATTTTATGGTGAGCATCTGACATGATGCAGTTTATCTGAGTAACAAATGAGAGACACACTTTAATGCTGGATGAAGTGGGTCTCCTCCTATATATGAAGTGGTTTGGGATGATTATGGCAATAATTAACTGCATCTATGTAGCTTTTCATCCCAAAGGATTCTAAACCACTTGAAATGCAGCACCACCTCGGTGATGCACCAGCTGCCCCACTGCACTGCAGATCAGGTGTTTCACCCACCAAACTGATGGAGGTTTAGAGATGGCCAGCTTCTTCAAACCCCAGAGTGGACTTCAGTCAGATGACCATGTTCAATACCCCTACTCTTTTGAACAGTTGCCACAGGACCTTTAACGAGCAGGTAAATACGACCAGTCTTCAACATCTCATCAGGAAAATGGCACCTCCAATAGCACAGTGTCCCCAGTCACGAGCCGGGGCACTGGTTTGGAAAACTGGTCCACAGGGGAGAGCACCACCTACTGGTCCACCAACAGCCTAGACTGAAAACACAAGAATATATGAACAGGTACAAGAAAGGAGGCTATTTGGCCCATCTGGATGTTTTGGTAGCTGGTAGTTAGTTGATCCCTGAATTTCATCCAGCAGTTTCTTGAGAGAAACAGTGTATTGGCTTCATCAACATGCCTGGGCAGCTTGTTCCATACTCTCACACCCCTTTGTGTAAGGACGCGCCTCCAGTTCTTGGTTTCAAGTGCACATCCACAAGGTTTTTACTTGTGTCTTCGGGTTTGAGTTTCAGTTTTCATTCTGAATAAATCGGCTGGGTTAACTTTCTCAGTGTCTTGGAGGATTGTGAATGCTTCTGTCAGGTCCTCACATGGTCTCCTCTGTTCAAGACTTAAAAGGATCAGGTCCTTCAGCCGGTCTGTGTGGGATGTTCCTTTAAGCTCCAGAATATATCTGGCTGCTCTTTCATGAAATTATTCCACAGCAGCAATAGGTTTTCTACAACCCTGGGACCAAAATTGTACACAATACTCTAAATGAGAAGCAGCCTTTTGAGTGTATAAGACAACTGCATGATCCCTTGATTTATATTGTAAGCTTATAATTGTATGTTCTAGCATTTTGTTTGACTTTTCAATTCTTCTGCACATTGTCTAGCAAGCAGATGTACAGTACATGACATGTCACCATAAACATCCAAATCCTTTTTCCTAATTAGCCTCTTCTAGCACAGCATTTCCCATTTTGTATTTATGCTTTATTTTTCACTACCAGCCTGCAATGCCCAGCACTTGTCTACATGACACACCATTCCCTTGGAGGAGGTCTCCCATCCCAGAACTGACCAGGCCCAGACTTGCTGGTGGCACTGCTGCTGGGATTTGAAGAACGGTATGAGGAAAAAAACAACAATGACATTGGCAAAGCACAAATTAGTCGTGAAACAGACCTTGAAAGGCTTCAGTAAAATGTTTCTCCTGAATTCTAATAGATAAACAGCACAAAATAGAAAATACTAACACCGGAGTTAAAATTACCGAAGGGAAGCAGACATCCCAGTGTTTCATAGCTTATAGATCAAATTCCCTCTTCTCAAACTTCATTCCCATCCTGCACGCCTACAGGAAACGAGCTTCCAGACCACGCCTGATGCGATGGCTCAGCTCGCCCAGACAGACCGACAGACCAACACTTTATCCCACAGACATGCTGTTGGCTTTGCCTTGTGCCCATAAAAATATAAGAATAAGGAAATGCCAGACCAACGCTCGAAAAGACTGAACTGTTAAAAGGCCGCCCAGACCAGTCTTGGAGGTGCAACACGACCACAAGAAAGGACTAGGAGAGGAATGGGGAGCTCTGTGGCAAGACCAGGTTTGTGGGCTGTGGTTGAAGGACTGGACTGGCTACACTTGGCCCTGACTCCTGTTAAAAAAAAAAGGCCAACAGATTCTTCACTGTGCAGGCGCGCGATGTGTGACTCATCTCACAGATTTACCCACAGGGCCCCTGCTAGAAGATAACTTGCCAGTTCTTCCAATAAAAGCAGACGGACAGCCTGCTCTTACTTCTCGATCGCAGGCTGCGCTGTATAATTCAGCGGCAATGTCAGCCACACTGCAGGCAGCTATCTCAACTCGCGGGGCAAGTAACTGCATTCATAAAAAAAGCAATTAAATAACCACATTTGATTTTTCTTCTTACTTAATGATAGGCTACACTGCTCCTTCATATTTGTCAAAGTTCAGTATTTTTCTATGAAGTCACTTTCATAGAGATTTTTCAAGATTGACTCCATTGTATTTCATCCTGCTTAGAAGTGCAATTAAACATGATAATTTTTTGCCCTCCCAGACAAACGCATCCAGGGCTGTCCGACAGAGCACGTCTGTGCTGGCAGAGGTGTGTTTCTGAGGTCCAGGTGAACTGGAGAGAAAAGGGGGCTGACATTCAGTGGTTTGAGCTCAGCTAAACATCGTGCCAGAGGTCATGACGAGAACTGTGTAACACGAGTAAAGGGTGAAACGGAGACCTCCAGACTCGTCACAGAGGAAGTTTAAGTTTCAGGCCCTGTGTGCCCAGAGGGATCAAGAAAAAAATATATAAATCAACAGCTTTCTAAACAGGGGCTTAATACAAGCCTCACCTGGGAGTAAAGCAGACCCTACACACCAAACACAGCCGGGTCCAGTGAGGGCTCGGGTCAGGACCCACCACCCCCGAGACAGCCGGTCCAGTGAGGGCTCGGGTCAGAACCCACACCCCGGAGACAGCCGGGTCCAGTGAGGGCTCGGGTCAGAACCCACAGCCCCGAGACAGCCGGTCCAGTGAGGGCTCGGGTCAGAACCCACACCCCGGAGACAGCCGGGTCCAGTGAGGGCTCGGGTCAGAACCCACACCCCC